TGGGGCCCAAATGGGGCTCCCATTTACTGAAACACCATGAATTTCGATTCCCCATTCCAAACGTGAGTACCCCAGGCCATTTCCGTTACAATATGGTAAACAATAAAATTGACTGGAACCCAGGAATTTCTTTTGAATTATTTGTTAATTATTGATACTTTTACCTCAAAATTCTGGAGTGGCAACTGCCACCCCTTGCCATCCCCGAATTACGCCAATGGAAGAGCATATCATAAAGTTCAGTTTTATAGCTATTTTTTTTTAACTAAACGCCAAACAATTAGATCGAGGAGAAAACTTTTACACCAGTGGAAAAGACATGTGGAAAAGTTTTTATTTATGGGAATTGTCAACCACCCCTCAACAAGGAACAAGGAAGAGCAATGTACTTGCCCCAGGGGAACTTTGTGCTACTCACATATGGTAGCAATTTATATCAAGCACATTAAAATGTTGGTGCCACGATCATTGAGTGCCACTGAAATACCCCATGTTCTATGCCCAGAGAGGAAAAAACTGTTAAAACTGTTAAATTAATAAATTTATAATGCTTGCGGTCTGGAGCCCAGCCCTTCACCGTTTTAGGACTCTGAAACGTGTTGGTTTTGTAAATATATTTAAATAACACTTTAACACATAACAACAATATTGTATTGTTGTTAAGTTTAGAAGTAAAAGTTAAAATCTGTAGCCCAATTCTCTTTCTATTGCGATGGAATTGCTGAACTTTAACCTAAAAATGATAAAGTTAAATCGATATATTCCCGAGAAGCTACGCTAAAGATGGTGCGAATACGCTCCATTAGTCTGAAGCAGACGCTGCGCGCGCCGCGGGACTGTATCAACACAAACAAATTGTCGTATCTTATTAGCACTGGACACAGTTTCATTCTGTATTTTTCTAGAAATCTGCAGTTTCTAAGCATTAATATCAGAGAAAAAAGAAGTACCGCTATCGTTAGCAATTTATTGTTATTTTGTTCACTATATTTGATACATCGTTCTTACTTTTTCTTAAATTTAACATTTTTCAACACGTAAGTTATGTTTTCTAACAGCTGGTTGCTGTTGGATACGAACATGCCTTGCAGGCAATTGGTCGATTAAAAACACATCCCGACCCGTTAGTTCCACGATTCTAATGATAAGTTTACATTTTACGTGTCCGCAGGGCATAGTTAAAGAGGGTTGAAAACTCTTAAAGGCCGGGACACATCTATCCGATCCCACTCCGATCCGAGAACCTTCCGTCGATGACCAAATAATCGGATCGGTGCGTGATCGGAAAGGGGAAGCCACACGTCACACACTTTTCAGATTCCGTTCCTATTTTTGGACGAGTGCAAATCACAGATTTTCAAACTATTCCTAAGACTGAGTCCAAATTAGGGCTCGGAATCAAACTCGAATAATTCGAATATTTGAAAAACGAATAATTATGTGTTGTCATAACTCGAATATTCGAATACCCGAATATTCGAATATTCGAATACTCGAATAATCGAATACTCGAATACACCAACATTATCAAACTCACAGGGTGCAAATATTTTTATATGCACTTTGTATAGGTACTTTTATAAAATAAATTATTCATATTCTACAAGCATTTAAACAAATACCTATATATTTACAAGCAAATGAAAATAATCATATTTACTCTCCTGCAAATGAATGTAAAATTACGTCTCTGTGTTCTGGTGATACGCGGCATCAACTTTTGCGCAGTGTTACAATTAATGTGCCGACAAAGGCACTTTTTTATCCGTTGCGGCTAGTTGCCAAAAATGATATGAGATAACAATTTTTCTTCTTGGAAAACGGTGAACGGAAAACGAACACTCGAATATCTAACGAATACGAATAGAAATACTCGAATATTCGTTAGATATTCGAGTATTCGAATAAACCACTGAACGAATATTCCAATATCAGATTTAAAAAAATTCCGAGCCCTAGTCCAAATGTCTTAATTGGCTTTACCGTTTTTCATATAGACACTCGGATGGTTTACTTTGAATATCGAAAACTGAAAGCCGAACTAGATATAAGACTTTTGTTTTATGTTTTTAGGCTCTTTTAGGAAACTATAGCTTGCCGAATTAAGCCAAACTAACATGATATTTAAAAATGCTTTAACGTGACAAAAAGACTAGTAGCAAACTAATTGTGCGATTATATAAAAGATAACAATCAGATTAATAGGGATTTGTTTTCCACTCGTATTTCCGGTCCATATGTTAGTTATTAACAATTTATTGTCAAAAATTCAATGCGGTGCGATTTTTGTTTTTTTGTTTATAATATTATATAATAACTAGCTGACCCGGAAAACGTTGTATTGCCATATAAATTATTCCTAGGGTTTTTTTTCCATCTCGAGTGGGCGGTTTGCCCACTCGAGAGCTTCAGTAGGCCGTGTGTTGAAAGTTTTTTTAGACTTAGCCAGTTAAGGCTTTTAGTCTTTAGTGCTGGCCTATGAGTAAGCCTGGGTGAGGTGGGGGATTATTTGCCTGAGATTAGTAAATGAGAAAAAAAATCCACTGAAAAAGAAGAGGTAAGTTTTGGGTAGTTTGGAAGAAACTGGCTTTATTGGCCTGGAAGTTGGCCTTATTTATCTTTAATGTGTTTAAATTTTGTTTTTCATTAAGCTGGGTTTTTTTTCAAGGTGGGTGTTTCCAAGGGGGGTCTGCCATTAGACTATTGGGAAATTTGAAGTGGAGTTTTGGGATTGATTGTTCGGGAAAAAGTCTCTTGGATTAGGGGGTTTGTGTGGTCGAGGATTTTGGTTTTGAACTTTTTGTGTAGTTTCGAAATTAATTCCTGAATTGTTTCCGTTTCGAGGTTTTTGTGGACTTGGATGTTTCGAATGTACCAGGGAGCGCGTATTCGACGTATTAGTTTGTTTTGGAATGTTTGGAGCTTCTTGATGTTTGTTTTGCATGTTTGGCTGATGACAGGTGCCCTGTATCAAACTTGTGCTCTGATCACTTGTTTGTAAATTAGAGTTTTGTTTTGTAGTGAGAGTGTGCTTTTGCGATTAAGAAGAGGGTGTAGGCAGGCGGCAGTTTAAATTCCTGTTTTAATACTTTTGTTTATGTGTTGAGAGAAGTTTAGCTTAGAGTCTATTATTATGCCAAGATATTTGACTGCCTTTGTGTATTCGGCTTCAGTAGGGGGGGCGTTGTAGAAATTTAACTGGAGCTAGTTCGTTGGAACTTTTGCTCTTTTATGACTGCCCTTTTCGGGACTTTTAAGTTTTAAATTTAGAAGAATTGATCTGTGTGCTTAGTAGAAGTGACCAGTGGTTTGTTGCTTTTGGCACCTCTGGTTGGGATTAGGGGGAAGGGGGGAAGAGCGGGGGGGTTGGTGTGGGGGTTTTGGGGAGCTAATCCCAGTTAAGGGGGGCCATGATGGTTTTCTGGCCCTGGTCATTGCTAAGAAGTTTAAATGTGTTTTGGACTAATGGGTTTGGGTGGTTAAGGACTTTGGCTTTGAATTTGGCGTGTTTTTTGATGAGGAATTCAGGGATAGTGTCCGTTTTTAGGTCGTTGTGGATGTCTTTGTTACGTACGTACCAAGGAGCGTGACAGATCGATCGTAGGATTTTGTTTT